TTCGAAACCGCGGCTTGAGGGTAATCGGTAATCGCCACAAATTCGCAGTGTTTTGCCGTCACTTTTGATCGCAATCACGATCGGTGTTGCCCACGTACTGGATGTGACTCGTATGATTATGCCATCGCGCTCCATTTACTCAAGGGTCTGCAGTACACCATCACGTTGGCCGTAGGGAATTACACGTCGTTCCATGAAAACGGGTTCACCATCAACTTCCAGTTTGGCCGGCTGTGCGTTCATACCTCCTGTGTTATTGGAACATTTCACGACCAGGCGCTGTAGACAGATGTGAATATTAGACATAGAGTTTGTTTGTAGCGGCACACAATGGTTCAATTTACAGATGGCGGTTAGGCCAAGTATGGATGGACTGTTTTTGGAAACCAGGAAGCAAATGGGAACAAGGCGACTTTGTGTCGAATGTACCATCAATGAAACCTCACCAATTCATGCCAAATTGTCTCCAGTCACACCAAGGATTCGCAAGGATCTCGGATGGATTTTGGCTTGGGGACAGATTGACGGAAGCACAGCAACAGAAATGATCGATTACGTGCTTCCCGTGTAAGAATGTATTTGCGCGTTGTTTCGAAATGTAACGACACATTTGTGTTTAGGAATTCGGTGCGTTGGCTTTCGGATCCTAGAGAGAGCACAAGATTTGTGTCATTCGCAGCAGTTCGCTGCGCAAGATTGCAATGAGGCTGTATACACGCTCTCCGAATGTGGCCAGTTTTCCCGCATGCATGATACTTGGTATTTCGGAAGCGGCAGTTGGAGCGCAGATGGTAAGCTCCACATGACAAACAGGGACTGATACGTTTCTCATTGCCTGAAGAGTCATTATGCGGCTTCGGTACACACTTGGCCATTGGAGGTCGGTTCGCTCGGGTTTTCTGTCGTTAGAATAATGTGACTGATTCTCTGGAAGTGGCTTTCATCAGGTCGTCGTGTTGCTCACAGATCTTGCGGGCATCGGCAAAAGTTAAATCTTTCTTCTCCAGCAACTTCCGTTGAAGAGTCAGATTATTGATGTCTGCCACCAAGCGGTCACACATTTGTTCTTCCGGGCGATCACCATAGTTGCAGCGTGATGCTTGTTTGTTCAGCTGCAGGATGAATTCACGGCAAGAAACATGATCGGCACGAATCATGGAATTGAACTTGGCCCTTTCGTGTGCTTTGAATTCAGTGGGCAGCAGGTGGTTGAGCAGCAGCGATTTCAGGGACTCGTATGGTAGTTTAGCTGGAGCCTCAGGGAACGCCAGGTTTTTCAACAGGGAGTAGAGGTCACGGCCGCCAGCAGTAAGAAATAGGGTTGATTGATTCTGTGCACCACATTTGCGAATACTGCACCACAGCTCGAATCGTTCGACCCATTCCTCGACCTCGGATGGACTTGCCTGCAGGTTCAATTGCTTAATCGTTGGAAGCTCAATCACGCGACGCCAATTTGTAATCATTGTGGTAGTAGTATTAGTACGCACGGGATTCGGAACACCAACCACACAATATGAATCATTGGACACAAATCAATAATCAGCTATCACGGACTGGATCGCAGAAGAACTAGACCGCAATGGCACGGTTCACAATGTCCCACGAGAACGAGACGCGAGGAAAAGGCCACAAGAGTGGTAGTAAAGAGTAGTTCGTTCATTGGAAGAAATGAAGGTGGTTAAATAATATGTACAAAGGGAAATTATTGGCCATCTGGGCTTCCACCAATTGGATTGCAATACTGCTCGCATAATCTTGCTTCTGTCTCCACTGTCTTGGATTGGCTGGCATCATCCACCAATGACGTGTATTCAGAAGCCATGCAGGTGTGATTGACGTCAGTATTCAAATTTGATTGATCGCCAATGTCCTGAAACTGTAACGCGCCGCTCCAGGATAGGCGTCATCGCGTAGGCCTGGATCATTACAGACTACCAAATACATCTTGCGATCTTGATGCATCTTCTTTCTCTCATGAAATCGTTAAGGGGCATTTGTTGCGTGAAACTGGTATTCCCAATCGAGTTAGGCTGTCGACTTAATGCAGGAAAAAAACATGCGAATTATCAGAAAAATCTCTTTTAGGTAAATTTTTGCTGTGCCTTTTTTCCTGACAATCAATCTTTCCTTTTGTTGTATCTTTTATGTAGTTTTTTTCGTCAAAGCATGCCCGATAAAAACGCTTAAAATTTATTCGCTCATGGAGTAGATCTATAGAACCTTGTTGAATTGACTCGACTTCACGAATCATTGCATTTCCCATAACTGTGAGTTGATCAAAGCTGGTGGTGCGACCTNAGCTCAGCTGGTGAAGCGTGTGCTGTTAAACAGCTCAAATACTGTTCATGTATGGGATGAAATGCCACGGAAGAAACCGATGTTTTCAAAAGGTAAGCATATGGAACGTCTCCCAGAGGTCCTCGAAACCAATTTGAATAAACATTTGTTGCAAGTGGCGGTGGAAGAACGGTATGAACTGTCAGATCAAGGTCTGTAGTAGGTAGAAATTGACAACAACGGCTTGGCAAACAAGCTCGTTTTCAGTTATTCGTAATCACGCCATTACATAACATTAAATATGATTAATAATAAGAATAAAACAAGGAATGAGAGATTCGAGTCCTAATGATTCAACTGTGGCTCCGATCATGCGTGCGTGTGTTTGTGTGAAATTGATCACACGCAAATGTGGACACCAATCGATTGCTTGAGGAGTTCAATAATGTCCACCCGAACATAAAGTTTACTCTGGAAAAAGAAGAGGATAATAGTCTAGCAATTCTTGACATACTCATAAGGCCGCAGCGATAACTCCGTCCACTTATCGGTGCATAGAAAAGCAACGTGGAATGGACAGTATATCCATTTCCATAGTCTTGTTCCTCTTCAGAGGAAGAGAATGCTAATTCGCCCATTGGCTCAGAGAGCGAAGAATACATGCACGAGGGATACCATAGACAATGAACTTCACTTCCTACGTACTGTTTTTGTTCAGAATGGCTACCCCGAACGATTTATCGATAGGGCAATGATAGAACACGAGGAACGGCCAAAGAAAATAGGAGCAGCGAAGAAGTCTGTCTATATGTACCTGCCGTTCAAAGGAGATACGGAGACAGAAGTCTTTCAAAGAAAGCTCACAAGTACAGTAAGCATAACAATTCAAACCATCCAAACCAATTATATGTTTCCGACTGAAGGATAGAGTGCCAGATTCTGCAGTCTCATTCTGTGTACATTCATTCACCTGTTCCTGTGGAACTGGGCACATTGGCCGCAAGACCAGGCGCTTATCCGATCGCGTTCGCGAACACCACCCAGCTTGGCTGAGGACTGGAACAATCAAGACAATTACAATCGCGGTATGTTCGCATCTCTTTGAGTGAGATCACTCGGTAGATGTGGTAAGCGCGTTCCGACCGATTTACAAGGTTCGATGCAGGCAATCAAGAACAGTGAAGCATCATATCTTAGCCGCGGTCGAAGCCGTAGGTATTCGGATTCACAACCACCCACCCCCGGTGTGCGCCCAGAAGAAATTTGTGCAAGCACTCAATCTTCCCTGGTCCACTTCAGCCACTCCAACCCGTGTGCAATCACTTGAACTTTTGGCACTGTGATCAATTTCACACAAACACACGCATGCATGATCGGAGCCACAGCGGAATCTTTAGGGCTCGAATCTCCCATTCCTTGTTTTGTTCTTATTATTAGTCATTTAATGTTATGTAATGGCGTGATTACGAATAACTGAAAAGGAGCTTGTTCGCCACGCTGTTGTGCTGAATGTGTTCTGTGGGACTAATAAAACGATTGAGTAAGTAGATAGTTGGTTCAAAGCCCTGCTTCATTTTCAAACTTTTTCATCACCATAATTCTATTGGTTGGAGTCTTCACCTTCTGAATACGCATAAATAAATTAGGAAAAACTGTGACTTTAACTTTTGCAGGGATTGATAACCAGATCCATTTTGTATGATATAAAATATGACAATGAGATCGTCACAGCATCGACATGCCCCCCACGGTTTCACGATTTATTGAAGCACGGGATGCTGTTCACTTCAGTAAGCTGTCACGACTCTCATTGACTTGCAACAATGATGCTTTTCAATCGCCCAAATCTATCCCAACTCACCTCCATTGTGGTGATTCGGAGTACTTTGCCTCGCAGTTCCGATTGTATCTCTTGCATTGTGTGACTGAAGTTTTTTGTGATAGTCAAACCGGTCTCCAGATTCCAATGCCCGTACTTGAAAACATAATGTGTGAATGTTTTAATCGGGGGTCATACTTCTCAATCTTTAAAAAGCTTCAAACGACAGATCAAAACTGACAGTTGAGAATCAATAGCCCAACAGTGACAAATTGGTAGCAAATCAAATAGGCCGGGTTTAACTCCTTACAGCTCGAATCATGTAATCAATTATTGTCTTTGTGGAATTCAAACGGAATACGCGTTATCACAGAACAAAACTAACCAGTTTTAACGGATTTTATAGCTTTGATACAACAGCAAGTGATAGACAGCATACATTAATTTTATTGCTCTCGAATAACAGGACAATAATTCCGTAAACGCAAAAATGTGTATTCCACTGACAATCACTTGAAAATTCTTTTCGGTTTTTAACTGTTCACCGAGGTTGACCACTATGTGGATTGGAACTTTGCATCTCGTTTCCAAATGAAACTTTAGAAGCTAATGTTTACCACCGAATTCACACAACTGTCCCTCAGTTGGTGATGAAACCTTTGCAATCGAACGAATAAGTACAGCGGAAAAGTGAACATATTTCTATGCTTATCCAGAATCACGTGCTAACTTAGATCTTTTCGGCACTGGGTCAAGTTAAATGGGCATCGATTACATCGGATCACTA